TCTCAGAATATTCTTTTGAACACCTAAAAATAAGCTAAAAAAAATATATTTATAAAAAAAGAGTTTATAGTTACATTAGTTGCTAATGTTTTAAAAAAGTATTTGATAAAGAGTGACAACGAAGTTAAGGAGGTGCTGTTAAATTTGCGAGCCGTTCGGAATTGATAGGTCAACATAGTAGCGACAGCGTCTGTTGTTGAATGCATCACAGAGTGCTAAACTTGTAGAAGTTGGTACAGCCTTGAAAAATTATAGTTGCCGCGGGCTTCTTAATTTGTATGATCGAGGAAAACGTGGTGGGTTAGTTTCACATATACAAAATTATTTTTAGTTTTTGTGTGTTGCTCGGATTTGTTTTCTGGTCACATTGTACCTTTGGATTCTGAATCCTTTTCTCTTTACTGCTGTTATTTGTAAATGTCTGCTGGCTCCATCTGTACTGACAAGGCACTAAGGGTTGTATTGTGAATGAATAGTAATTCAACCAGATGGAAGTTTCCCTTATATTTGTCCTAATAGGCTCTACCTTTCAAATTGTCGGAGATTAGTTTTCTAAAATTGGATGAAAATAATACAAGCTCACTTGTCTCACTTCTTTTCCAGAACATGACTTTTTTTTTCCACTGACCCAACACGGCGTCACCAAAATTAGGCTCAGTAACAAGGCTTATCGAAAAGTTTTGTCCGAACACCTCATTAGTTGGAAGTGCCTTCGCTCGAAGTTGCGAAAACTTGCAATAGACCGTATCTTTTCCACATAAGTTTTATACAACCCAAATATGAGACTTTTTAAAGGAAGTAAATAATCTTGAGTCAAATGTGTTGAACTGCAATGTGTATATGTGGAATAGCACCTATATTTTATGCCTCTTACTGACCAGTCCGGACACATTTCATCACTCCTCGTATATATATATATAACCGCTATGGATTAAATAGTAAGACTTGTATCAGAAAATCATTATTATCTCCCTAAAATTGTTGCAATTCCAAAATATACTCCAGCTTTAAGTAATCTACATAAGGTTGATAAGCCATAAAAAAAATCAATCAATTAATCAATATAGATCGGTTCAAACTCCTCCTTAGTCTTTTGAACAGTAGTAGAGGTTTATCCCTTGTTTCCTGTTTAGGATTGGGTTTCTAGTTTTATATAATGTCTTCACATTCTCAATCACATCCAGTAACCCATTACGTCATACTGGCATTATAGCCTTGCTTTTGTGAATTGATTTTATATATATATATATATATATATATATATATATATATATATATATATATAGGCATGTCTGACTGAATAAGTTCCAAACATCATGTCTGCTTATTTTGATCATAATCCTTTCATATTCACGAATATTTTTCCGTATATTACAATTAAATGAGGCAAGATATGCATTGTAACAGTGAGAATCACTTTTATTTCCCAAGTACTTTCCATCTCTTTCTGAGATCATCCTCAGTGGTGTAGTTTTTAAGCTATCCATTACTGAATTTTCTCTTTTACGTTTAAATGCTATGGCTGACAGTTATGCTTTAGCGTTCATTAGAACGTGAATAGTTATCCATTATGGAATTTTTTCTTTTATGTTTGAAGGTCATGGTAGAGCGTGCATTAGAGCATGAAAACGGCCCTTTTTATAGACATTTTAGAACATTATTACAGTATTAGTAGCTGTTTCTATTCTGTGTCGGCTTATGTTTTTTTCAATGAAGATTGCTTCGAGGATCTGTAGTTTTAATTTTCTATTTGGTGTAGGATAGTTGTATTATCAATCAGTATTTTTCTATACTGTGAATGTGGACAGGAATGTTGGTATATGTGTCTTGCAATAGACGAATCGTCAGACATGTGTAGAGTAAGAGGTCTTGATAATGTAGTTGTCGTATATCCAACATATATATTTGTTTTACTGTATTCTCCCAAGGAACATTTAAATTGATATATAATGTTGGTTTTACGTAATACATCAGTTGGTAGGGAGGAGTTATTGCGAATAATTAAATTGATTGTATCGTATTGTATATAATATACGATTAATGCGTGCGATATATATATATATATATATATATATATATATATATATATATATATATATCAAGTATGTGATGCAGTTCAATTTACATTACATGAATCATTCATACAAAAAAACAGATATAGAAGTTAATGATATAAATGTCGAGAATACATCTTCGCAAACAAATTTACTAAAGTACATTAACCCCGAACCTGTTCATACAGACAGCTTCAGGTATGGAAATAGATTTGTTTTTGTTTTTTACTTCTCGGTAATAACAGGACACCGAAAATATAGATGTAATCCGAAAAATCTTTTTAGAAATGTGTTATTGTTAATTGTAAGAAATGTTTTTGGAGCGTGCGGTCGCAACGCTGAGGTTGAATTTTTAAATTTTAAGATTGTGCGTTTTTGTACTAATATGGTAATAGGAGAATTCTTTTGTACTGGTAGGTTTTTCAGTCAATGTGGCATGAACTAAATTGTTCAATAAATACAGGAATGTCACAGTTATTATCCGAAAGTTGCACGTCGGATCAGTTATTTTAATATCAAGTATGTGGTGCAGTTCAATTTACATTACATGAATCATTCATACAAAAAATATATTTCTACGTTTATTTATCTGTTGTCGGTTCTAACCCTAAAAGTAACTGACTATACATATATAATACAATATAGGAATTCGTACATTACGAATTCACATCTTTAAAATGTGATCGCATTACATTTTGTGTAGGACTTACAGCCATATGACGTTGAAACACCTGTTCAGGTACGATCACTGAATTTAAGGAACGTCAAGTCTGGTTAGGACGTAGATGGGTATCCACTTGGGAATAGCAGATGCTGTAAGCTTGGATGTGATTGTGGTATAATGGATAATGACTCGGAATTCGAAACTAGAGAGTCTAGTTCCAATTCCAGTCTCGTTCGTTATATTCACGAACAAATACACTTCGAAAAGATATGCATCCACCTTTACTTCCCCCAGCTGTAGGTTCATTAGGAGTTGTATCAGTAAGTCAATATTCTCCCCTATAAACTCTTAGAATTTAAAAATATTTTCTGGCTTTGGAAAATCTGCCCAAACTTTTCATAAGCCGTAAAAACCAAATCAATCAATCGACCAATCAATGGACTTTATGTTATAGGTATGCATCTTAACAAACATAATTTTTTCTCTACTACTTCAATCGGCGAGGAAAAAGAAACAGACAACCC